TAAATAAAGAAGTAAAGCAAACAATTATCTCTTCTAGTTACGACCTTTGTACTCAGTTGCTAAACCTTTAAAAATTTTGCACATAGAGGATATGAAACAAAATATTTTTTTCAGGTTTTATATATACTTTTGAAAAACTAAAAAATCTTAAATTACTACATCAATATCATAGAATTCAACTATAATTTATCAAACTTAGTAACTAAAATGTATTTTACTCTAAAAAAATATGGAATTTCGAGCAGACTAAAGACACAACCCACCTCATTGAAATCTTGATTTAAAAGAAAGAAATGACACTAGGTACATTAGAAAGGCTTAGAAAACCACCAGGGGGACATTCTGAGCTTCTGATTGGTTTTTCATGTCATATATAGAAGTGTTTATAATGGAGCATTTCTAAAAATGGAAGGAGGTGAGCGGGGTGCCACTATTTTTGATTTATTATATGAGCAATATCTTAGAAAATAGAAAAGATAATACCTTATTTTATATTCTAGCTTGTCAGTATCAATAATTTGAGTTTCTAATTCATATGAAACTATAGACTTAGTAGTTTGACTTCACAAACATCTAATTTGAACCAGTGCTGCATTCAACATACCACGTGACACACAAAAATTGATGTTTATCAATTTTAATATTTACTTTTAAATTACCAAATTGAGTAATGTATAGTTCAAAAACTTGAATTATAGTCTACAGTTTTATACCAAACTTATTGACATAAATTCATGAAATAGTAGTTCAATAAAATTGAATGCGAGTCAACAAACGAGATGGTGGTTAAGAGATCAGTCAAATCTACCAAACCCATACAGATTTGTTACTGAAAATAACAGATAAAATATAACGTTTTTCCTAAGAAACGTTAGATAACTAACTGGACGTTATAATGTTTTGCATGTGAAATTTGAAATTTTTCTGATGCATAAAAGTATTTTTTAATCTTAAAATGAAAATTACTTTGCATATTAGATAGCCAACATGCAAAATGAGAAAAGGCATGAGAAAATCATTGCTTAACAAACCTTAAAATTCAACAAAAAAATTTAATATTTTGTGTATAAAAGTATTGTAATGTTTACTGATAAACTGCCAAATTTCGTGAACAAATGCTTACTAATTTAAAAATTATAGCAGGAAAACTATAAAAAGCACAAAATTGTTACGAGGTCAGTCCCAGGGAATGCTGAAGATAGTTAATATTGTAAATAAGAATAAAAAAAAATCAATTATAGTGTAATAACACTGTTACTGATTTTAGAGTATTTGTCCATATCAAATATATTTGTATTTTGAGGTACATGAAGAAAGTAAACATTACACGTTGGCTTAACCCATATAAACAATAGCCAAACTAAAGACGACAACACGTGGCTCTCTGTCTGTGCAGACCACCTATCAATGAAATGAGAGAGTGCTACTGGATGAATCTGGATATTTGTGAGAGGACTTGTCACACAGATGACCTGTTAAGTGGTCACATTTGATTAGCCTGGCTTTACTAACCATACAGTTTGCACTCAAGGAAATATGTGAATTTAGTACAGAATGACAGTTAGTATAGCAGAACAAAACACAAATCTACCATATATGTTATCAGCAAACATAAAATCTGTACTATATACCACATGCCTCGTTATAATCTTATAGCTTATGTCCAGTTTTTACTTATAGCTTCTTCTTGTCCATCATAAAACAGAAATGGTGTTCCATATTTCTAATTTATGACCAACCTTGTCACACGTCATATATCCAGTAGTGTCAGTGATGCCAGATTACTACGTCCTTACACATCCCATCACCTTGTTATATTAACCAAATAACAATAGTTCTTACAGCACAGTTCTACAAGAACGCACCTAATATCATTATAATGAACTCACAGACAGACATCACTCACGCCCAATCGGTGCTGAACAATTTGATCATGTGATCTATTGTCTCCTTGTGTTACGATGTTCAATTCTAACCACCTTTACAGAGTGTCATAACACAAGTGCACTGGCAGAGTGGAACAGTAAACAAGGTGTGAATACAATGACTAGTAACTAAATGTATCGTTGTAACATTCAATGCAGTAATTGGACAACCTCATTAAAACTGAATGAATAATCATGGTAATAAATGTTACATTTTCTTGGAGAACAATGAGTTAAACAAAACATGATAGTGGGTGGTATCAAGAAGGACTTGATGTCATAGTTCGTATATCAAAAAAAACTTCAAGGTTCTAATGTAATAATGTGTTACTTGTAGATGTGTGTTATGAGAGTTACGTTACTGTTAGGTAGTGTAAAGTCTTGAGGTTTAAGTGTTTCATCATGAAAACACAGCCAACTCAGATTTGTAGGTTCATATATATGCACACTTATCAGTTCTACTAGTATATCTAGGTTAATGCTGCATTAAATACATTGTCTTACTAGTTACATAAAACATTTAAAAAATTCCTGTTTCCATACATTTTTTATTCCTCAAATGTCTTAATTATTTGACAATACTTCTTTCAGTTTCACGTTGTTTTAACATTTTGATTAACTTTTGTTAATGAAAAACAACGTTTTACGGTTTGCTTCTTCTTTTTTGAAGTGGCTATTAATACTGACATATAAGACAGTCACAATTAAACCCACGATAAGGCTAATGGCAATGGCAACAATAAATTAAAACAATTTAAACTAAAGGCCGAGAAATCCCAAGCACATCACAACAATAATGCCACGCGAGTCTAAAATCAATTAGAGGTTTACAAACGTAGTAATACATCATTACAGAAACATTTTTACCATAGCTAATAGTGATACTAATAACCTACATTTATTACAACTGCATGATATCAATTACTAAATTACAACCATAGTGTACACAATACACACTGTAATATGTATATTCAAACTGTGAAGTATTGACCAATTCATCTGATTCTGAGTACTTTTTTAGTTTTTACATAGACTTTTGCGATTATATTTTTTATAGTCTTCGCCAGTATGGCTGTTAAAAACGCGAAACGGGAGAAATCCTCATTTTTTAACTTTTTAAACTTTAAAAGACTCCCAACGTGTATCTGCCGATATTCTTCCCTGCGCTACGAGTATCAATCCGTTCACGAACGGTAACATTGTCAATTTAGTGCCAAATCGCCTTTGATGCCCATGTCAACTGCTTTTCTGTAGCACAAGCAGTGACTGCCACCAGTTGGTTGAAATAGCAAGTTAGTGGCTTTTATTGCCAGCTTTCTGTCGGTGCCAATAACATTGACCTTTCTTTTTTGTCTGAAGCTTAAAATATTTTACACTAACATTTAGAACATGTTGTCTTTATTCCAATAATGTTACGTAAAACTAGCGTTTTTTAATTCTTTTTAGCTTGCAGTAATATAGTTCGTGACGTCATCATCGATTCATTCGTTTAACAAGCAACTATCCCAACGTTAGTATTGGCCGCCATATTTGTAAATATCCTATATTGCTGCATCACATTCATAGTAGTACTAGTAACCAGGCCTTATCTGCACTGTACTAAACAGCAGATACAGATCACTTATGCCAAGATAACAATAAAAACAGTTACTTTTCAGATTTGTTTAAACACAAGAATAACTGAATAAAAATTTAATTACTTAAATATACATAAAACTGTACAAACCTCAGGCCAAATGAAGCGCAACTACCAAACAAAACAGCCTACAATTAACTAACCCGGCTTTCTAATCGCCGTTTCCCTGAACAAAGACGCATTACGCACACCACAACGCCTGACGCACTTGAAACGTCGCTACGGGGTTTTAAAACTAATAAAAAGGACTGCTGTTACCCGGATAATATCTATTTTTATCAATCTCAACATCAAAAACGACAATAGAAAATAGTATAAAATTTTCCCTGCTAACATTATCACATATTGAATAGTTTCGTCCGAGGTTACTTATTGATTATGAGAATTTCTTTTAGAACTAAACCCTTTTACAGTAAGGAAGATTTTTTATTTAAAATCGGTACTACGTTTCGATTGCTCCTGCGATCATTTACAAGTACACAGGTTTTAGTATTTTTAATCAACATTAAAAGATGTAACTATGTATTTGAATTAGAGCAGCGATTATGGTTACTTGTGCATGTGAATAACAATACGCGTGAATTAACAGATTATTTATTCATACCTAAAAAAACACAAATTGATGGATTTGAAGATGTGCGCAAGACTTAGATACGATTAGGAATATCTGGGGAAATAACGAACGAAAACATATTACAGCCTCTGGTGAAAAAGAAATTTTTAATATACACATACAATCATTAAGCAGTTGGTCCGCGGTATGATATTGTTACAACAGCGGAAGTCACGTGACTCTGGTAACACGTAATGAGTATTTCAACGTTCCTGAAGGCTCGAGTGTTTGCCAGACGCCCTATATTTTCTATATATAAGACTGGAGAAGTGACGATATAGATAAGTTGAATAGCAGACAGGGAGATAGAGACAGATAATCGAGTCAAGCCGTAAGTCAAGTGTGTAAATCGTTGTGAATTATAGCGTGTGTTTAGGTTAAAGTGACTGTGGAAATTCTGCATATTGCAAAGTCGTATTGAGGAAGAATAAACCAGTTTTATTTAAGAAAGGGCATGTATCGCTGAAGTTCCTCGGGAAGAATTTTTACGGGAAATTACCAAACGAACAGAGACGTAAGAATATCGAATAATGTATTCGACGAAATGTCATAACATTCTTCACATACATAAATTAATTTTGGTTTCTATACGATGAAGTAAAACGGACTCAATAGATATTATATACACTTTACCATTATAAAAGACTGATTGGTTTTTTTGTTTGCTGGACGATGAAGACGACGACGTCCCGAACGTCACAGTCCACCATTCGGACGTTTCTTCAAGAAGAAGGCTCTACTGAACTAGCAAAACAATGCTGATACTTCTTCCCACGCTTATTATTTCTTCCTCCCATTCTAATTTGGCGTTGCCTTATTTCATTTTCTGGTTTCATCTGGCATTGGTCACGTTGAATATTCGGCGCCTGAACAATGAAAGTGGGCCTTCTTGGGGAATTCCCCACACTCGCACGTCCAATTTTCCAGTACTTATAGATTCCTGCCTCCCTGAAGGACCATAAGTCCGATAGGGGCCGTTGATTTGTTTCAAGTAAGTCAAGAAGAAATCCACTATCTACAAACACTTACTTCATCAAGTAACATCCAATTTCTTCAACCTTCTTCCGGCTCAACCTTTCCAACCAAAAGTCATTCACTTACCAGCCAAATACAACATCCTTTTACTTCCGCCCAAATCTTACGATCTTCCAAGTAAAACCCTACTCTTTTACCATGTGGGAAAGAAGAGAAACAGTTAAACCCCTAGAAATCGAAATAACTGCCAAGTTCTTGTTGTTTGATTTGCTGCCCCAAGCTGTGATGATAGCCTTGAATAGGCGAAACACTGGTGAAAAACAAAATAAATCTTTAACACACACACATATATATATATATATATACGATGACTGTGAGACTGTTTGATTTTATTAATAAGATTTTCTAATTTACTTTCTCTGTCAGAGTTCATGTGTCTGTTCTTGTTGATATAGACGTTGGAAAGTCGTTTTTGGTCTCAAGTCACGTCCTCATTCATCTATCTAAAAGACTTATTAAGTGATTTATTGTATTTTGTAACTGTTTCCTGGTTCGTTATTTAATTTGTTAATATGTGTTAATTTTTATTCCAAGAGTAAAAGTGGATCTAGTCGTTATGTTAAGATTATATTTACTTGTAATAGAGGCATGCTAATATTTTCTATATAAGAGCTAGTGTCAGTGATTACGTTTCCTTCATTTTGTGGAGTGTTTTGTGGTGTTTGTTTGTTAAACTTGTCTTGTCTGTGTGTTTTTATTCGTTAATAGTTTGTATTACTACTGTGATATTGAATTGGTTTATGTCAGTAAAGCATTGCATTAAGTGTGTTAATTGTTCATCGATGTTTTCTGTGGTGCATATAGTGTATGATAAATTTAGTAAGCTGTTTAGAGTGCCTAATTTTTTGTGAGTTTTTTCTTTTAGATTACATGATTAGAAAACTATTTCATGTAATTTCCTATAAATGTGTTTTTTCTACGAATTTTAGTGGCGAAGCTTTGGAGGCTCACGTATGTCAACATTTAAAAAATGTATGTGATTTACGTGTTAAAGGAATTTTGTTTGTTCATCTTGGCAAAACAGCAAAAATCATCATTCACATATCTAAATCAAAATGAAGGCTTATATAACAAAGTGGCTATGATAAGTTATTCTAAGCTATGTAAGAAGAGAGTGTCTAAAGCACTTGACAACAGATTTTCCATGTAATTGAAGAAAGTACGAATCTCTGTAATGGAAGTACACAAATGTGGCTAGTTGTATAAGTGCGATATGGTGTTCTTGTTTTATGTTTTGTTGTTGTGTTGTTTGTTATTAAACACAAAGGGCTATCTATGCTCTGCCCACCACGGGTATCGAAACGAGGTTTCTAGCAGTATAAATCCGCAGACACACCGCTGGGGGGGCTTGGGTTTTTGTAAAATAATTTCTGCGCTAAGCTGTATTGCCTCATGACAAGGGGTTTGATGGAGTAGGTTGTTGTTGTTTGAAGTTAAACACAAAGCTAGTGGTTTCTAGCTTTGTAAGTCCGCAGACATACCGCTGTGCCACTGGGGGGCTGAAGGAATAGATCTACGACATCAAAGCTTCACATAGTGATATTATCGCCTAAACTATACAAATGTCGTATGAAGTGCGAGATGTATATTCTGGAAACATAAGGTTCCAAAATCCAGTTTGAGTATTAGGTCGTCAAGAAATTAATGTCGCGTTTTGGAACACTTTCATTAACTACCTCAAATAATAGTTATAATAGTATAATAGTTAAACGAACCGCCTAAACGTCACGTTAGTGTAGCCTATATAATGCGTAAAGTTTAGTATACTCTAATCCCTTATAGTGATGGCACACTACGAGACACACATTCGGCATGTAATGCTGTTTGAACCATTTTTGGATAGAATTGTCACCGGTGATGAAAAATGGATTCTGTATGCAAATATTAA